TTTACTCTGCCGAATACACCATAGGCTTCTCCGATTCTTCTTCTCGAGGTTTGCTTCGGAGCATCTGCCAATTGACAAGCTTTACATACCTACTTTTTTTGGCTAGGGTTGCTTTCAACAGTCATACCTTCTGTCATCTCGCTTAATTTGACAATACGCTCAATACCAATATGGCCTAAACGCTTATGCGAAGGCTTAATCGGAGCTTGTGAAGCTGGCTCTCTTGTTGACTTCTTTATAGTTGCAAATAATAGCACTCCTTCTGTCGGGTTCAGAATCTTTGTATCCGGCTATGTAAGTCAAATAAGCTGATGATCCTAGCATGTCTTATGCAATAGATCCTAGCTATCAATAGTCTCAGGTTGGTACTTCCTCGCATTTGCGAGGTTTCGGTATTTCCTACACGAACAGCGCTTCGCACGCTCTCGAACGTCAAAGACAGCTCTTTATCGTTTTAAACGTAGACTTGGGCGCCGGTATCTACCACCTACTTACTGTTTGTCAGGTGGTACCGGACTGAGATTGATATCCTGATTGGTGGAGAAGAAGGTAGAGGGTTGACTGTCGGATGTTGCATTTGCTTGCTATAGTACTTCTCTCCTCTATTCGGTCTTTATTTGATTTCAGACTCTTCTCGATGACGTTTGTCAACGTACGCTCTCTAGGTAGGATCAAAAAAAAAGGAAAGAAAGGACCAAAAAAAGAGATCGTGGTTCCAGAGGGGGTCGAACCCTCGACTTTGGCGTTATTAGCACCACACTCTAACCAACTGAGTTATGGAACCGGATTATGTGTTCATGCCGAGAATTTGGACCTATCAATATTTCATGACGAGGGGTAGATAAATCTTTGGGGGTAGAAGTGAAGCTACACCCTATGATGTAAGTCGTGCGACAATCCCCGGGTCGGTTTTTACCCGCACCCCATCAAATATATATATCTCTCTACATTCAACAACCAACGCTTTTACCTTATTTCATTCCTTGCCGATAGCAATCGATAGGCCTTTTTGTTGTTATATGTAATTTTTGAATAAATCAGAAACTAGCATTTTTATGGCATCAAAAAATACGTCGCTGAGCCCCAGGAATATATATATCTCAGTCACCAATTTATCCAACTCCCCTATACTCTAGAAAGTGGCAAAGTATCATATAAAACGCACTAGTCTACAGGGAAAATTTATATAGATAAGTTCTGTTGCAATATCATGTTGTAGTTTATCGCTTTTACTATGTGTCTTGAACTGCGCAGCTGGCTTACATGCGCAGCTCGCTTAGTTACCGAATACGTTATTCTTATCTTCACAATCGACTAACTTACCTCGCCTACCGTAAACGGGCGATAGGCACCTCATAGGTGCCTATAGACGGGCAATGTGGTAGTATAGCTAATATAATACCCTCAAAAGCCCCTCCCTTCTCTATATAGGAATAGTTAGATCCAGATAAAGAGAACTAAACTATTCAAGATTATAAAGATAATATTAAACTAGTGCTCAGAGACTAAATATATTCCTAGTCGGGGGTTATACAACGATCCAGAGGCTAGTAACATTTATCCTGAGATCTTATACGCTGTTTAGTGTGCTACGCACAACAAACTGGTCACAGTTAGGTTAGATGGGTCCAGGGTATACTTGCTTTAATACTCCTCGTGTTCTTCAACGTCAACGATCTATCTCTCAACCGTACTGTTGCGTATCAGGCCTTACTATGGGCTGGGTTCTTTTGAGGGCATCGAGGAACAATACTAGGTAGAGCGCCGAGTAGATCTATACCGGAGTATTAGTCTGCTCGTGAGTATTGTCAAGTTATAGTCAAGTAATAGAGTCATAATTATCCGAAAGGTAAACATAAGTAATAATATATGATCGAAGACGAGGAACTAAGCTAGATATATAGATAAATGTCCTTATATATCCCCAAGTCCTTCCTAGTTAGAATAGTAGGTAGTAGAATAGTATAATCGCCTTATGAATTCTATAGATCCACCTTTAACCCTCCTACCGCTTATATGATCACGTATCCTACCGTTCCTTATCCGGTAGTTATGGATCCCAGAGTATAAGATGCTGTACGTGATCTGATGACAGATAAACTGATTGGCGCTCGATGGCCCATTTGTGTAGTGAAGGCATATGTCTGATTGGTGCCTGGTAGGTCCGTAACAGTGTGCTACTTAGTATATTATTCAACACAAATTGTGTCTATCTATGATCGACACTCTCTATAACTTGTTATTTGAATAGAAGCAAAAATATCGACAGAAATGAGATGAAGAATATAGAGTGGCAAAAAGAAAAGAAAGGACAAAAAACGAATCGTGGTTCCAGAGGGGGTCGAACCCTCGACTTTGGCGTTATTAGCACCACACTCTAACCAACTGAGTTATGGAACCAGGGTATATTGTAGTGTCAATAATTTGCAACTATCAATGTTCTGGTGCTCTTATCATTTTTTTATTCTTGAGGGGTAGAAGTGAAGCTATGAATATAGCTCGATTTCTAGGTATAAGAAGATTAGATAGTTCTACAATGTTATTTAGTTCATATAATTTGTATGACGATCTGATCTGTTGTCACATACTTTGTCACATGCTTGCTTCTTGCTTCTTTGTACTTTGTTCTACAGAGTGTTACTAGCCCTAATGAGTTTGTTTGCTACGTGGGTTAGCTTCTGCTATTTAATCCCTAGGGACCCCATCTCTCTCTCCCTCTCTTCTCTAGCCTTGTTATTCTAGTTGGAATGCACAATTTCTTCATTGATCGACCTGGCACGTAACACTGGGAGAGATTCTATTTATCCTAAGATTGTTAATGCTACTTAGGATTATATTATTCAACACAGATTATATCTACAGTCGATACTCTCCATAACCGTACTAGGCCCAACACACTGCCGTGTATTGATACGCCCCAGTAGATAACCATGTTTCACTAGATAGCCAATCTACAATATATCCATATTTTGTATGACCTTTCCATACGAAAGATACTTATATATCTCGTGGATACCATGCACAGTTTCTCAGGCTTCGAACCAGTTAGGGGAGATATGAGAAGGGATATATAGTATAAAGGAAGTTTAATTCATTTAACAATAGGTTGATAAGGAATATCAAGTGAACTCAGGGAAAAAAAAACACATATTTATCTCGACATATAATTTCATATATATTGTCTTTTTTTTCTAAAATATTACCCTTCATCCACATTAGATATCGAGAATTAAAATTCTGCATGGTGACTACGAGGTACATAAGTATCTCTCGTATGGAAAGGTCATACAAAATATGGATATATTGTAGATTGGCTATCTAGTGAAACATGGTTATCTACTGGGGCGCATCAATACACGGCGGTGTGTTAGGCGGTTAATTGTTATTTGAATAAGAGGCAAAAAAAGCAAAGAAAGGACAAAAAAGAAATCGTGGTTCCAGAGGGGGTCGAACCCTCGACTTTGGCGTTATTAGCACCACACTCTAACCAACTGAGTTATGGAACCAAGTATATATTCTGGATAGAAATATTTGCCACTATATTAAAGAATCACAATTTTATCAAGACTATACAGGCTACTGAAGTACCGCCCTTATCTATTATACCACAGACAGTCCCAACCCCGGTACCTTTCACCCAAAACGCTCGAGGGATACTTTAAACAGGGTAGGTCTAGGATAATTAGTATAAGATCATAAAAATTACTAGAGAATCAATATATAGCACTATAGGCGCTATAGCTCTCACTAATGCCGCCAGCGGCGGCACCCTGCTTAGGGCCATTTTATTATAGTATATGATTTAATAGTGTTGAGATATCTCATTGGTCATATGATGTGTCCCTACGTTTGTAGTAGTCTAGTTCCTAACTTTCCTCCTATATAACATAAATCTATCATCATCCACAATACATTACATCGTGGTGCTTTCATGATCTTATCTACCTATAGACTCTAACAAATAGGCTTACACGCTTATATAGATAAGCTAACGCGGGAAAAGAGAAGACCCCGAAGAATAGCTTAACTTTGTATAAGTATGTTTTCTATAGCTCTAAGAATCTGGCGGACTCCGAGTCCGACGGAAATGATTATATAGGTTATTTTTTCTTCCATACTCTGCTTATTCCCCTCTAGCATATTCTTAAAGATAAATATCGTTTCTATGAGATAAATTCTTAACGAACACAAGTAATGGTTCAATCCATATGGATTCTTGTAAGCATAGTAAAGACAGGGGTTTCTTTCTCCGTAAAGACTGATTTCGAGCGGTATTAATACCATTAGTTCGGATATCTCTTAGACTGCTGATTCCCCCATACTGCCCGTCTCACCTTATGGAAATGTCATGTTTCTCGCCCTCTCCCCCGATCAAACAACGCGGTCCCATCAATACTCCATTTCACCACTTAGAACGCCTCGCCCACCGCTCCTTCTTTCATTCCGTTGTTTGATCTCCCCAGCAATAGCATCGCGCTGCCACGGATTGTATCCGAACACGCCCGCCTCGGTATGGGCCTGAAGTCTCTGTAATGTCTGCATAGACATTAGTCTCGCTTGTTGTGGTGCATCTGCCTATCGCTGTTCTAGATTGGATATCTTTGACCGGGTCACACCGAAACCCTGTCGAATTGCGGCTCGCCGATCGTACTCGTTAATCACCCAAATATCGTAGGGCAGGAACCCCTGAGAGACGGCGGTGATTTGAGCAACTTGGTAAAACAAATCGTGTTGTCCAAACGGTGTACTCTCGCGCGGATTCTTCCCTTGGGCTCAATGTCCAACGGAAACCCTTCTTCCGGAGGATCCTTGGATGAGCGCTTCTTCTTTCCTTTGGAAGTTTCCGTGTGTACGGAGGGCTCTTTTCTGGGAGTAGCAGATCTCGGAACAGAAGGTCTTACTGATTCTTCCTCTGCAGATGATTCTTCCTGCACCGATTCCAGGTGCGTGGTCGGTCCGATAATGGAAGGGGACCGCCCCCGCGATCCTCGTCGTGGGTGTTAATCTTCCGGGAGTAGGGCTCCTGTCACCTCAATGGCAGGTTCTGAAGGTTCAGTTGTTCCCGAGCCCGTCTCCACCGGCGCAAGTTGATGATCAGATGTTGGCTCTTCGGCCTCCGCTTCATTGGGCGTCGATACTTCTTGATTTGGACGAGAAGTGTTTCCTCGGACTGTTCGCCCTGTCCTACGAAGGAAATCATCGACCAGCCGCTGGGTCCTCTCACTGAAAGCGCCTCCTGTCGTTGGTGTGATGTTCCGCTGGGCCCCTCGCGGCTGCGTAGGGTACTTCTCTCTGCCAATCCCAGCCTCTTGTTGGTTTCGCTTAGGGGCTGTTGGTGTCTGTCCGACTGATGTAGATCCGTCGGCTCAGCCGCTACTGGTTCGGTTCCCAGAGACGCCTCTGACACCGTCTTGTCCCTCAGTCGGGTGGCCGTCAATTCCTGTGCGCCTCATTGTATGTGGCCTCTCCCTTGGAACGTTTTGCGGCCGAGGGGGGGGGGGGGGGGGGGCCGGGGCAGGGGCATGACCTGTGTACTTGCTGATGGATCTGGTGGACCTTGCGCCTTTCTCGCTGCTGGTGATTTTTGTGGATTTGGCTCTATGGCCGGCAATTCCCCCAGAATCTGGCCGTCGGGGCTCATTTCCCAGAGAGCATTTCTTGGCTTTGATTGACCTCTGCCGTTTGGATTTCCCTGTTACTCTTCATACGTTCGATCCTTAGGTGAATCACGCGTCTCCTTTTTGTCAACCGTCGGGACCGGCCCGATCCTTTCGAACTGCTATCTGCGCGAGATTCATGTGAGTCGTCGGACCATGTGCCTTGGTGAACCAGAGAGACGGTTTTATCCAATTTCTCGTCGCAATTCCATCGGACCTTGTTGAAATGTTCAAATTATCCCAAAACTTTTATAATAGCCTGTTCTGATTTGGAGAGCGGAGGATGAGGGCCCATTCGCTGCGGAATTCCTGCGGAAGAGCTCATGATTTGGACCGGATCTGAGTATCCCTCTCGCGAGAACCTGGCATATAAGGACGGTCCTCCAGCTAGTGCCATTTTTGGCGGGTCCCCCTTCGAGAAGAGCAATGTATGACTGATCATGCGTCTCATGGCGTTCTTTTCGTTGTGCGACATCGGTATTGACTTGTCGGAATGGCTCTGGTATAACTCGCGGCATCTCAGAGTTGAGACCAGTGTCCAGCTATGTTCCGCTAGGATTTGATCCCTTATCTCGCTCATGATGTCCATTTGCTGCATGAATGTCCACATCAAGAATTGGAGCTGGTGGGCCGAGGGAATCTTCTTCATGGCTTGCCCCAAATCTCCGACAGGCGAGCCTTTGTGGAATTGAGCGGTATTGCTCATCAATTGCAGCACCCTCTGGCGGGCTTCCGCCGAATCATTCATCTTGAAGTCAACATCTCGGAATAAAGGTACCTGGTAGTCATTCGAGTCAAGCCGGTCTTTCCGAGCGAGTCGTGCCGTAAAACGGTACGGTTCCTTGATGCATGTCCTAACGTTTGGCCACGCGAACATCGTCCCCATGTCCCAGTCGTGCCGCATCCATTTGAAAACATGTATTGTAGCCTCCACAGATGTCAGGCCCTTCAAAGCAATATGCTCTTGGAAGAAGCTAGTTTTCCCCTTGGCACCGGCTGCCCGTTTCTTGCGGGGTCCTGGAGGAATCGACCCAGTGAAGTTAACGTCGGAGACGTTAAGTCTCATGGATGAAGTCACATCCAAGTTGGCAAAAAACCAATCTGTAGTACGGCAGGTCTCCGTCCACAGTGGCGACACGATGACCAATATCACGATCAGGGGTAAAAACCCCCACGGGAATCCCCCAGTGACTGAATCCTGGGCCAGCTTTCGCGAGCGTGTAAACACATTGTTCAACCACCTGTATGTGAAGATGTACGACTGGTTGGGGCATTCTTTCTTCTGTGTTACAACCTGCCCCTGGACTAGCGAGTTACAAACTAGGCCAAAAATGCCACTATATCTGAGCGTTATGCTCAGATAGACTAGGCTCCAATATATATAGTACGTGACATGACATTCTGCTTGGGTTTCTTGCTTTCCCCAGGTCCTTCAGAACTGCGCGACGAGGATGAAGTCGCCATGCTGTCAGTGAGATGAAATGGAGCAAAGGAAGGATATATGTATCAGGAGCAAAATAAGAGATGGATATAAGGCGGGGAAAGTGAGAGAGAATGTAGACTACAGACGAGTCACTGAGAAGGGATCAATGGGCAAAGGTGTCCGATGCATGTGAACTGAGAGAAGTGAAGCTGGCTCAGGTCCACGAGACATCCAGCTCGCTTTCAATATTCATTCACCCTCCCTGGGCTCAATTTCTCTCAACTCGTTAATGCGAAATAGTTACACGGTCCCCCTAACTCCAGACAGTCTGACTGAGTTTCTCCACATTAATTTCTGACACCCCCGTCATATGGCCTCTTTTTGAGCGAAGTCCCTGCTTACCAGGCCCCATTTGAGACTACTACTAGATCCATTTTTGGCCAAGTTAGCGCAGAATTAAATTAAATGATTGATATAAGCCGTTGTGATTTACCTACAACTATACGTAGTAAAAATTGTGGGAACCTTGTGGCGTCTCGGCCCCTCTGGCAAACTCTGAAGCTTGATATTAGAATTTCTGCTGGAAGTATGGTGTTAAGCGGAGGAGAGGGAAGGGATTCCGCTTCGTCAAGGATTTGGATAAGAGACAGGTTTTCTAGTTCTTAAGAATACCACAAACTTCTACTTCATCTTCTACGACTCGTCTTCTGCCACCAGAACTCGTCCTCTGCCACCAGGACTCACCTTCTTCCATCAGAACTCGTCTTCTTATATCATACAGTCATCGCATTGTGAGCCCCAGTCTTGTGGACTGGAGTCCACCATCGTTGCTCGTCAGCAGAGAACACGCCACTACTGACTGACTTGTTCTATCTGCCAAAGAGCCCACTCATATACTCCGTCATCATGACCTCCACATCATCCTCTTACCAGCCTCTTGTCCAGGGTGGCCATGCCCACCAACCTGATAAGCTGCCTTCGATGTTCATATCCTCAACGGTGCCCGTCGTCCATGAGAATACTATCATCCTAGGGGCGACACACCCTACCCTCTCCACCGCCGACCCGACAGAAGATGGTTGGTTCATTTCAGACTTCTATGCTTTCAACTACTTGTTTAAAGGACTTGGGATGCAGCAAACCTGGCTGACCGCTGTGGAACCTGCCAAGCTCGTCGAGAAGTACGGATCATTCCTGCATGGAAACCCCTATGAGGAACGAAAGATATGCCTGAGCCAAGAGCTCTTGGACAGCGATGAACTCTCGCCTGTGACTGTGGTTAGGCCGGCGAGAATGATTGACCAATTTCTGATAGAAGCGAGAAGGGCTTCTGAGCTGGCCAAGAGAATGTCAGCCCCCCTTCTTCTTATTATCTTCTGCCACGGACTCCCAGACTTTCATTTGCTTTTAAACAACGGGGATACGAAGAGGGGTCTGAGCATGGTGAGACTCAGAGGTGTGCTTGAGCTCGGTGTACGTGTCACCCTCATTACTACGGCATGTCACTCTGGTGGCTGGGCCACAAGCCCGGATTTCAACCATACCACTATGGCAGCTGCCGATGAGACTTCAACGAAACAAGGAATGTCAAATGCGTGGGGAATCTCTCAGAGCATCGGCCGCAGTTGCGGCTCCGTTTTTGCTAGCACGCTTGTGCAGAGCCTGTCCAGCGCAGCAAGCCCACTCCTTGACCCCCGTGAGAGGTCTCAGCCATCGCGCTCCCTTAGAACCAAACCCCTGCTGCACGCTGAAGGGTCGGAGGAAATCCAAACCCTGCAGCCTGAAGAGCCCGACGAAATCCAGACCCTGACGTATAATGCTTTCTGTCATTCGATCTGGGAAGTATGTGAGCATCGTGTAACTCGGCTTTGGAGTGAACAGGGATTCAGATTCAGCGCGCAGAATGATGAGTGGGATTTCTCTTGGACAGGACGAACCGGAGTCCCTCTCAAAGACTTCAAACGCCGATGGGAGCAGCTCGCATCTCACCCCTACACCGGCCCGGCCGACATTCGTGACCTCCGAAACACACACCCAGACAACCCTACCTTCCGCGAGGCCGACCCCGCAAGCACTGGTGGTGTTGAAGAGATTGTCCATCATATGACGGATGATATTGCTCACGGACGGATTAAAGCTATGGGACGAATATTCCACCAAACTTGCCCTGGAGACTGGGACAGAGGGCGGATGGTGGGATTTGGGGGAACTTTACGTGCATACTACGAGCGCGATGAGTTTAAGGAACGAGCACCGAAGTTTGCAGCAACAATCCGCTTTCGTTGGGAGATGGCACTTCTTGCAGATTATGTCGTTAGCGTGTTCGGCCTTCCTGTGCCTAGTAAGAGGATGTGTATCCTCTGGGATGAATCTGCCTGGCAAGCCGCCGTTACAAAGACCGATCCTACCTGGATGCAGCGATATAAGAGTATATCAAGTGCCCTTGGCGACTGCTTTATTCCCCTCCCTAATGATAATCAAGGTCCGCTGTTCTTCCGACCCAATTGTTACCTAATATCCGCTCTCGTCGAGGCTAATAAGCCTGACGATGAGACTCTGGCTATTATAGATGCCATAGAGCAATTCATGGAGACACAAAAAGAGTTCCATGAACAACGGGCTTGCCAAGACGAACGTGTCCGTGGCCGTGGCCGAGAGTGGCTGAAAACTATTGGCAGACGAGCCCTCCAGTCGCTTGCACCTCGTAAGAGCCTGCGAGCAAAACCCCATGGATCAGAGATCACAGAGTAATCTAAGAAAGTGGTGCTGCTTTCGGCTCGTGTGCTTGCCTGCCGTTCTCTTTCTTGCTCCTTGCTCCTCTTGTTTGTCTCTTTTGCTTTTTTTTCATATAATATTTCTACTTAATCTAATTTATAGCAGTATGAATATTCGATGACTCTGTTAGTACTATAATAGTAGTAAAAAAATTAGAAAAAATAGAAATTCGTTGGTTCCAGAGGGGGTCGAACCCTCGACTTTGGCGTTATTAGCACCACACTCTAACCAACTGAGTTATGGAACCGGTTATGATTACTCTCCGAATTATTATGTATCATAAGCCTTGACTAATCACCAGAACAAAATCACAATTTACAGCTCGATTTGCAAGTCACCTAGCTTCAATTCGAATAAAACTAGGGCTATCCTAAAATGAACCAACCCCCCCTCGCGCTGTTATAGGACCCTTTCTCGACTTGCCAAACCTCTTCTAGTAATTGTATTTCCAATACATTCTCCCGGTAACAATACTCAAGTCCTTCACAGCGTTAGCGGTTAAAAGAGATAAGCTTTGGGCTTGTTGTCACTATTACCCTTGTTTGTAAGATCCCATCTAGAGTGATCTATGCTAAACGTGCTGTCGGATTTAACATGAGGTAATTCATTCATTCTCCTACAATGCAAAACTTTCCAAGCATCAATATAGCGCTACCTAGGTATGACCCGGAGGAGATTAAGATCCATGATACTGGTTGGGGACATGCACAAAGTTCTTCACAACAAACCGGAAGATCCAGCTTGATGAGGCAATGATAAGCCGCATCCCTCTGACCATCAAATATGAAGATCTGACAACGGAGTTCCACAGAGAGATTTGGAGGACTCATTTGTCCAAAGCTAATACGGTTCAAGGACCTGCAATGGTTGGGCCCGACGAGTGTATAACTATGTAACTGTACAACCGAAAATGTCCAATGTCTCGCATGATGTAAAACTACAGTTGCTCCGCACTAGCTATAAGCCTATTAAGAAGGCTATCAGCACCGGCAGACTCTCCATCGAGACCATTCTTATCATCAAGCACCCGACCAACCGCCCCAACAAGCCCAGCCAAGCGCTTCCGCCGGATAGACTCTTCCAGCTCAGCACTCTTCTGACGGGCGACGTCAATAACAGCCGAAGGCAAGTTCGCCAGCCGCGCAACGTTCAACCCGTAACTACGATGTGCAACTCCCTCAGTAACCTCATAGAGGAAAGTGATCTCCCCCTCCCCTTCCTTGTCCTTGTTACCCGTTTCCGTGAACCGCATATGGACATTACGGAGAGCCTGGTCCGGGAAGGAATGCACTATCCGCGAGAGATGCTGGTAATGCGTAATGAAAAGGGTCAGGGGTTGGATCGACCGAACCATATAATCCAGCACCGCCTGCGCAATAGCGACACCATCATGCGTCGATGTGCCGCGGCCCAGCTCGTCGAGGATAACCAAGGATCGAGGGGTTGCTTGTTTGAGGATATCTGCTGTTTCGGAGAGTTCGACCATGAAGGTTGATTCGCCGGCGAGCATGTTGTCGAAGGCTCCCATGCGCGTGAAGACCGCATCTAGAAGACCGAGTCGGGCGGAAGCTGCTGGGACGTAGGATCCGATCTGGCCCATGATTGCGATTAATGCAACCTGTCGCACGTAGCTGGATTTACCGCCCATGTTTGGGCCGGTGACGAGGAGGGCGCGCGTCCCGTCGTGTTGGAGATTCGTGTCGTTGGGTACGTATGTGTCCGTGAGGAGTTGCTCGACCATTGGGTGTCGGCCTTGCTCGATATGGACGCCTGCTTCTTCTGTGTATTCGGGTTTGACATAGCCCGGTTGCTGGGCTATGTCGGCAAGAGATAGTAGGCAGTCGAGGGTTGCGAGGGATTGGATGCAATCCCGGAAGGACTGGTACTGCGCTGCAATATCAGCCAGGAGGGTTTTGTATGCTTGATCGCAGGCTGCTGCTAGGGCTTCTTTGTACTGATCACGCTCGCGGATGAGCTGGATGACTTCTGGCGTGTGGAAGCGGGACACTCTTTTTGTGCCGCTGACTTTGACCCACGATGCTGGCACGCGCTTGAGTGCCGGGGAGTTGTTTTCGATCTCGATCAAATACTCAATCCCGGAGACTGTCGAGTATTCGACTTTGCCTCTCCCGATTGTGGATGCTGCCTCTTTGCGGTGTTCCGAGAACCCGTGCTCAGTGCTTCCAATTTGGAGCTTAAGTTCACCGATCTCCTCTGTCTCCTCCGCTTCGCGAAAGAAAGTATATTTGTCATTGGTTCGTGCTGCGTGCATGTTGATCTTATCCAAAAACTTGACGACTGACGCTCGAATCGTGGGCAGGGAGGCGATGGCCTCGCTCACTAGCGATGATTGAAAACCCGTCTGGGTAGGTGATTTAATATCTGCAAACTCCATTGCAATCATATGCATAGCTTGCAGAACAGTGAGAAGTTCGGGTCGCTCGCACTGGGATCATATTAGTACAGGTGTGGTCATTATCGCAGAAATATTACCCACCTTTCCATAGTAAACGCGGATCAAACTCTTTTCAAGATCACTCTTGACTTTGTGTAGCAGGCCTCGCACTCTCTCCACCGGAACCGCTCGCGCAGGATCAATAAGCTCTTCCACGGCATTCGTCCGCTCCTCGAGGCGCACTTTGTCCAGCAAAGGTCTTCCAACCCATTGCCGTAACATGCGTTGTCCGAATCGCGTGTGCGTCCGATCCAAGGTCCAGAATAAACTACCCTTTGTCGAGAGATCGGTCTGGTTTTGGTAGATTTCTAGATTGACCAGTGTGTTTCCGTTCAGAAGCATATGCGAACGAGCGGAGAAGGGCTGGAAATACTTTGTGAGATCAAACACATGTTCCAACCCATATTCGGTCATATGTTCGATCATAGCAGACAAACAGATAGTCACCTGTTCCGGGAGGCCAAGGACATTTTGAAGCAAATTCGCAGCTTGGGTATCCTCCTCAGTACTGGTAGCCTTCATTTTTCCTGCATAAAATCCCGATATATGGCTGTGTGCCTCAGCGGCGGAGGTTTTCTTCTTCTGGGCCCGTTCGAGGCGCACGGCGTCCCCAAAAACATTCATCTTGCTTCCAGATAAATGCTGCACGAGCTTTTCGCTAGCTCGAGACATCTCTCCAACAATCAAAATCTCACAGGGAGCGATATGCAATAGCCGTGTCTCGATCTCGCTCCGCATGAAACCGTCCTCAAAGTCATCGTAGATAACGTCGCCGGTAGCTGGCTGGACAGCGACAATCCCGACATGGACTCGCTCGTCATTTCCGGGGCCCTTGGCATTGGTCTCCGTCATACACAGCATGTACCCGGTAGCAGGTGAGGCACCTCCCGCCGCTGGCGCAGGACCCTGCAGACCTTCTGCGTCATCGATATAAGTTCCTTTCGTGTAGAGGTTGGTTAATTTGCGAACAAATGGCGCATTACGATTATCACCCGCAGCCTTGAGCGCAGCCGTCTCGATCTGTCGCACCACGCCGACCTTGTGTCCGGCTGTAACGAGTCGCTTCACATGTACGTGTAATCGGTGCACGGGAATACTAGCCGAAGCAAATCGACCGATGTGTGCCTCCGATGGATCTGCGGTAGGTCATGGCATTAGTATATTTTCGGTATGGCATGCAAGAGATACTCACGTTCGTCGAATCTGAATTTCCCTGGGATACACACGATGCCCAACTCCTTGGCTGCAGTGCGCGCATCCTCTCCGAAGAACCGGAACTTGTATCCCACTTCAATAACTAACACTGTGTTCATATTCTGACGCTTGATCTCAATGACCTGCTTCTCCATGGGCGTGAGCTTGCTCGCGGCCTTCTTCGCACCCTTGCCTTTGGTTGGGGGTGGTGGTGGTGCAGGCTCATCATCTTCCTCGGCCTCTGCAGCTTCGGCCTCCGCGCTGGCAGCATCGCTCACCGCGATTCTCCCAATCCCGACCTGGCAATCTGACCCACCGAGCTTCCGGACGAACTGCTGATGGAGTTTCTCTTTCTCTTTTTTCCGCTGTTCCTGCTCTGGGTCTTCCTCCTCTGTGGGGACTGGGGTAACAGCAGGGGAGCTCTGGAACTTGAAGATATCGGTGCGTTGGCTGCTGCTTGCCTGGGATGTGTGCTCAAAATGTACGCTTGTCGCAACTCGGATTGGCTCCTCCGCGTCTGTGCCGGTGGTCTTGGCTCGCTTTGGTGCTGGTGCCACGATATCCTCGTCATCATCGTCATCGCCATCTGCCGGGGTGGTATCGCCTTGCTTCGGCTCGATATTGTTGACTGGCGACGCTTGTTTTTTCTTGGGCGCCTTGGCCGGGGTCGGTGCGGAGTCTTTGGGTGAGGCCGAGGATGCGGGTTTCTGGGTGAAGAAGCTGGAGATGCTTGCTTGCTTTCGTTTCAACGATGGAGAGGGTGCGGAGGACTGCGAAGAATGAGGTGCCATCTTGACGAAGGATGATTCCAACTGCTCCCTCCGCAAGTATGCGAAGTGGCAGTGGCGTTGGACGTAGGGGTTCTGGGTTGGGTTGGGAGAGATGGACTTCAATGGAATTCAATACATGGGCATTTCATCTCAGCTTGATCTCAGACTAAGAATGCTTCAAATCGAGCTCCATGTGAGTTCTCCGCATTTTACTCGGAGCTCGACGCGTACAGAACGCGCTGGGTAATTAATTGGTTGCTGACTCAGCACCAGTATGGCGTACCTGGGCAGGGCGTTCTGAGATCATCATGCTTGATCTTCCAGGCTATTAGATATTAGACAGAGATGTGCTAGGAATAAGATAACATCCACAACTTGAAGCATTGAATTGAGCCTCGAAGGCTGTTTCTATGACAGTCCCATTGGATATACCAAAAAGTGCCGAAACAGCCTTGGGGCTGTACAAGACAAGAGGACCCCAAAGAGGGAGTGGTCTACAATGTATACATTAGGACACAGAAAACAATCATAATGCACATTCTTCATATTGATACTGGCTAATCATGATATTGTACAGCATATCAAACAACCCAACAAGGATGAGAAATACAAATGGACACCCCCATGGATAATCACAATTGATGAAAGATAGCAATCAGCCTGGGTGTGAACAAGGTACGGTCGTCGGGTGAGGTCTAATCAAGGTAAAGCTACCACTGTCACTGTCTGGGTTTTCGGTCCTTGATTATCCATAACGCCTTCTGTCATTTCAGGGAACATCACATAGCATCACAGTGTCGCAGGGTTGACCAGCAGGTTGGAGAGACTTAGTTCGCATCAGTAGTCAAGTAGTATGCATGAAACATGTGGTCGTCTTCCGGGATGGTTTCTTCGGACGGAACAGTCTGCTCCATTGAAAGCCAGCCATTGTGGGCTGCAGTGCTTTCATGCTCCTCTTCGTAGTGGCTGTCATAGAAAGGATGCCTCGAGGGGGCTTGCAGAGGGTTGAATCGATACCCGGCCTTGTCAAAGTTGTCGTATGGATTGTATGGATCACTAAGATCGGGAAGGTATGGAGGGCCGTATCCAAAATCGTCAGCGTCAGTGCGCTTGGCAAATGGAGACTGCCAATCGTGGGGGCCAATTCGGCCTTGGGGGTTCAGAATAGGCTCGATGTTTTCCTTGTCGATGGATTTGTGCCCAATTCTCGAGGCATGAATGCCGGTGTTCGTCTTTCCGTTCAAAACAAGGCGAGTGGGGGTCAATGTGTCAAACTGCGTTCGGTACCCCGGTTCCTGATAACCTGTTGTAACCTCTTCTTCTTTTTCCTCGTCAACAAAAATGTCGAAGCCACCCCTCGGCCGCTTGCCAAAGGTATTGACAGTGAAACCAAACTCGTCATCATCGCCAGCATAAGAGTGAGTACGGTCTGCTGCGCGGCGCGAGCGGCGGGGAGACTTTTGTTCTTCTTTGACCTTCTCTTCTTCTTCTGGGTTCTTGCGGTCTTTGTCAGTTTTCTGTCGCTTTCTGTCCACAGCTCGGGGCACATTGGGGTCGGCTTTAGTCAAACGAGTACTCCTGGTACGAGTGAGGCCTTGCCTGGGAACTGGAGTCTCTCCTTTCAGTGGACTGTATTCCTCCACATTACCCGTGATCACACGTCCCTTCAACAAAGTTCCGTGTGGGGAAAAGACCAGTTCGGTTGGCTCCACGAGAGAAGAAGTAATTTCCATGTTCTTCAACACGGCACCATCCTTCTTCTGGTTGCGCCGACGACGCATCTGCACTGTGGCGGAATCAAAAATATCCATGCCTGGCCACAGAACTCCTTTCAGTCTTGCGATTTCTTCAGCCCGAGTCTTGTCCGTCTCGACATCACCCGATGCCTGAGTCTGATCACGGGAGTCGATAAAAGGGTCAGGGGTATCTCTGCCGGAAGTCCAGGTCCTCTTCAAGGGATCCGGTTTACGTCGGCGCTGTATCGGTGTCACAGGCAAAGCCAATGATCGGTTTTCATTGCTGAGTCCAGAAGCATTCACTGGTTGTAATCCGGTTGACTTTGTGCCATTGGAGGATCGCATTGAGCGGAGGATAGGGCCCGTCCGAGATTTCGTATTGTTGTTCGTTGTAGCCAATTGATTTGGCGTAGTTGGTGTGACGGTTGTACCCGCATGTTGCTGTTTGTCATTGTTGGAATCGGCCAGGCGGGGGTCGAGGCAATCAGGGATGGGGGTGGTTGGAACCGAGACAGTGCTGGAGCCCTCAGGCTCGATATTGGATGCTTGGCTAATTACGCGTTTGGTGGTCTGGGAAGTCAATGCTTCATCCGACTTTCTCTTTTTCCGACTTTCTTTGCTGGCCATGCGAGCAGCCAGCTGCTTCGCAAAGCCATTGGCGTCAAACCAGTTGTCGTATTGTTTGAGAAGCTCGATTGCGTTAGGATCGTCGGTGCGGAGCTTGAGCTTGAAGTGGCTGGCTAGATGAGCCTTGGAGGCAGCATGGGTCAACAGGTGGGAAACATCGCTGAACTGGGGTTGCCCAGGACAGATGCTGCATAGGAGGACAGAGTCATTCATGATGCAAGCCCTGCAGGAAGCAACAAAGTAATAGAATGAGATGTAAATGGAAAGGGCAAAACAACCAAAGTGTCAAATGCCAAGAAAGTGGATGTGAATGAAGCTGGTGAAGGAGCGATGGAGGAATATGAGCGGCCGTTATAAACACGTCAACAAGGCAGACGGTTCTGACCGTCTTCGTTATCAATCAGCTATTGACATCTGAGGAAGGAGCGTCCGCTGGTCGGTCAGTCACGGGATTGAGCCCAAACAACTTTCATTCATCTCTTCATAATTATCTTTATGTACACGATCTGTATACAATGTGTATGTACCACGATGTCTTAACAGCTCTTTGGCCATTGTAGGGGGATATGAAGCGGAATAAGTCAACGTGGTCATTATTCTCCTCCCGCATTGTATCCCATAGTGTATAGAGAAGAACGCTGGGTTTTTAGAATGCGGGAGGGTTCATTATGGATGGATTGATCATTGATCCACCCATTAATCAACTGATCAATTACCCCGCAAGGCATTTGTCAGTGATTGACTTAGGCATGCAACTATTCATTCAAGTTAGCAAATAATCCAATAGTCAGATGCATTATAGCTCACTAAACAGCATCTATTTCTTGGAGGCCATTGAACTTCAATAAACTCAGTCCTGCAAGGCTGAAGTGTGTGTGATACACATCGACCATATTTCCGGGTCGATCAGCAAAGCCACCAGCATCAGGGTCCTAAATAAGGCTTAGCAACAGATTCCACCACACACAATAGGCAATTAACTGACCTGGCATTGTAGAACAAATGCGGCGAGCTTCTCACCATCGATCCAGTGAAGACGGTCAATCATGGCAAGACTTGATCCAACCCACCAGCTGTAGCACGCATCTGCAAGTTTTTCTGGTCGGCCATTGAAACCACCGCTTTCGATCTGGCGCTCGCTCAGCCAAGCTCCGAGTCGATCCTTGTTCACCAAGTCCAAGCGACCAGCGATGGCCAACGCACCAATGCAAGTAAACACCTGGCCAGCATGGGACTCGGCACCGGGGCGAATACCATAAGCTCCATCCAGGTTTTCACAACTTTGAATGTGAGAAACGGCTTTGGGGACATCGATCAGGTCCATCAGACGCAATAGTGACAATGCATTTAGGGCACCATATAAGAACCGGGTATCTGTTTCGCCCCACTGGTCTCCCATGAAGGAGCCGTCTGCATTCTGTAATTTTGCAATGACTATGATGGTTCAGTAAAAAATCATTGATATCAGTGAATATGAGGGAATACGTACAAGACCCAACTTTCTCCTTGCCACCTCGGCCCCGCTTCTCGAGTTCATCGACAGCATCAATGGTTATGAGGATCTGAACGGCAGAAACGGTGTATAACATATGAGCATCATGACCCGGGGCAGCACCGAAGCCTCCATTATCATTTTGGCACGAAAGAACGAAGTCGATGGTCTGATCTCGGGGTAACGTATCCGGATGACCTAGAATATGCAGGGCTGTGAGACCCCAGTAGACACCATTTAGTCGTAGGTGCTCGGTCAGCCAATATTCCAGCTCATCTTTCCTCTATGTTGGTCAATCATCACCATTCACTCAACATTTTCTATTCTTTCAAGGAGCACGCACAGTGTCCAGGTTCTTGATGTAAGTGACATGCTTTGAGGTGTGTAGTTCAGAGTCTGCGGGGCTGACCCCAGCTCTACCAGGGCCCGATACTAGAGCCATGTCTTGGGAACAATGGGGGTGATCTCAGAAGACGAGCAATGATTGGATAGGGATGTGCAGGTTAGTAGATCGAAGATCTGAGAGCTCGTGAAACTATTGTTTTAGCACAAGGCGGTGAAGCTGCAAGCTAGGTCATTTATGAACCACTGATGACATTTGTGGCTTGACCTTTTTTTAATGGCTTGGAAAAATGCAGTTAGGCTGGTTTTCTTTTTCTTCGGATAATTTATAATCCGTACACTCTCACGTGAGAAGAACGAGTAGCACGTGCTTCGGCTAATTCCAAGGTTATCAATTTGATAATCCACCCTAGGCAAGCGCCAAAGGTTCTGTTACATTTGCTATACTATTGTACTCGACGTTCATTGGTAGAGACTCAATAGTATCCACTCGAAATGTCCCGTGCACCACGCCAAAAGCACTGTCATCCCCGAGGCGCTAGTTTGACATCTCCAGCCATGTTTCAGATTGGATGGAACCTCAAGTGGAAAGATGCGAACACGAGGGTGGTGTGTAAAAGAATAAAAGAACCGTGGAAGAGCTGTATCAAGTAGAAAAGTGCGCTAGAAATAGTACATACAACATAATAGGCATTGTTCGCTGTAGGGCTTTAGTATAAAATACAATCTAAGCCGTTACACAGTATCCATATTTATTCTCTCTATAGGATAGTGCTCTGGAGTATTGTCAGTGAGTGTTGTAGCCCCGAGTCTTCCCATGTTATACAAGGTCTTTTTTTTTTTTTTTTTTTTTTTTGGCTAACAATGCACACCGTATCACAATTGTAGGCAATGGAAACTTTCTAAAATTGTCTCTAAAACAGGTATTCTCCACATGAGGCAGTTATCCTTGGTGTGAGGTCTTTATCCGCAAGCGGGAATATGGGTTCCAAGGTTGGATCCGAGACCAGGCTAAATTAATTTATAAAAAAGTGGACGCGACAACTTCGGACACGGACATGTTTATGCATTCATTTAGCTCTTACCCCTGATGTATGAATAGATTTCTGTTAAATACATAGATAAAGCAATCGTTGCTTATTGCCTTGAGCACTTACTCCGTATAGATCATGGGCTATATTATATGATATCCGTAGAGGTATACTATAACCAGGTGCATATGCGACCATAAACAAGCCCAAGTACAACCATGGATCTTCCGGCAACGGAAATCAGGTACTGATTTATTGTACTGTCACTGGTTCTTCGATCAACCAATGACAGACCACATCGACTGCAACGTAGGCAACACATTCCGTGGCTCTGACCTACAAAAGTGGAGAGCTCCGATCATTCGTGTACTCCGTAAGGAGTACAGCCCACTATAATCGTATCAAGTACCTTTGGACGCGAATAGAATCTAATCCCGTTAAGCTCCAGTGTCTGAGAGGGTTTTTTGGGTGATGTGAGCCAATGCAAATTGAGTAGACCTAAAATGTTATCGGAATTTGATAATGATGAACGTTTATGACTATTTATGGACATTTATGATGCTCCTCCACCGTCACACTCGGATCATCCACAGGTGTTCCTTGGGTCTACAAAACTGACGTTTCGGCCTTCAGGGGGGATCAGATAGGGATATTTTTTTCCTTTTTTTTTAAAAAAAAAAGATATTCCACTCTTTTTTGTGGTCTGTATCCATAGAAATTATAGAAATATTTAGGTGCCTAAGTAGGAAAAAGATAATACAGAATGTGGAACGGTTTCAAGTTCTCTAATTCCTATGATTTTTGATATGATCTAATAATTATGACTTCTATAATACTAGCGTGGCTTGTCTGATAGTCTCTACTCGGACTAGTGTACCGCTAAGTCTATTAGGAGACACTTGGACTTTGGCGACTTTTTTTTTGTTTACAGTTTCAGTTCTTCACCTTTCATAACCCTGACTCCTACATCATACATCATACCGTCTTCGAAATTGAATTCTTTCATCGGTTTACCTTGATCCACCGCAACTCCTATCTCGCCCCCCCTTCCGCCCTGCCGATCCCCGAACTTCAAAGCGCCTAAAAAGAGGGGGGAAAGTGAACTTGCACTGAACAAGTCCCGGTCTCACAAACCTGGAGACATCGGTGGAAACAAATTGAAAACACATAACATGAGGAATTTGGTGAGTGATCAGCTGAATGAAGGAAACCCGTTCATTGTTTCTGCGATTCGTTCCTGGCCTTGTCTGTCGACAAAGAGTCGAGGTGTGGCTTCGTTTAACTCGGGGTTCGCGTGTATATGTCACCTGCGGTCTCACCTCTTGTCTTTTTTTTTTTTGGATTCTTCTGCTTCTCCTTTCACATGTCTCTGATTTCGCGCTGACCCTATAACTGGCGCTTCAGATCCCACGCCCTCAATACTTCGTTTGATCCATACTACTTTCGTCATTACACCTGACGTTTAGGTAGACAACATTACCTATCTCCCAGTACTACTCGGCTTTGAAAGTCGCTTCGCCCCCCACCACACGGTCAGACCTCGAGCATTGATACCCGTACGAGCCTCTCAGCCGCATACGTGACTTGGCTTTCAGCGCTGACCAAGTACACGTCTAGCAGCCCAAGGACCAATTCATATTCATCTGAAGCTGTGACGCGGCACACAACCCACAAAATCTTGACCCCCGAACCTTCATATTCATCCTGGACCAGGTCCAATTGTCGCCCAACATGTCGAACCGAACTTCAACAGTGCCCAACCTCGACTTGAGCTCGTGCAAGACTGAGTCGAAGAAAGAGAAGGTTTCATCGCCTGTGACGCCAGGTGACCACAGTTCAGACGAACCGACCCCCTTAACGCCACGTTCGCCCAAGTCTGCATCAAGCTCTCCACTCTTCAAAGGCGCAACAATTCGCCCTGTCATGCAAGACTCCGACAACAAGGCAACTAGTCCTGTTCCCCCACTTTCTCCTAACACAGGCTCCGCCGAGCCTACGACACCCGGTCTTACAGCCATTCCTCAACATTTCCCTTCTTCCAAAGATTCAAGGCATACGCGCGATGCCTCGAAATCATTCTTTGGCAACCTCAAAGCACCGAAATCATCACACAAGTCACAACGTTCAGATAGCTCGGAGAACTCCACCGAACATACCAAGAGCAGAGGCAGCTCCAGGGAACGGAAGACACCAATGGCTTCGAAACAATACGAGTCAACGCCTGATCTTCCAGGGGAACTTGCCCATGCGAATGGCAACGAAAGGACTAGTGAGTTTCCATCGCCACATATAGGGACCATATCTAACAGATTAATCTACAGATGGACTCTCAGGTCACAATAGTTCGC